ACGGGGGGGGGGGGGGGGGGGGGGGGGGGGGGGGAAATGTTGAAGTTCTTTGGAATTTACTATAACTTTAGTAGCAGAAGCAAAGGAGATCAGAAGAGCTTGGGTTTCGATGAGTTCTCAATCCACCTCTTCCATACGAGATGCATCAGCAGCATCATCTCCCTCAAGAGGAGGCATCTCCTCTGTAGCAGCAGTTTCACTAGCACTGGCTTCATCGTCATCAATTCCAAGCCCAAGCTTGATCATCCTATGCAGAACAAGATATATTTTAATATATTACTCACACACACTTCAATACACAGTGAATCAGGAACACCACTACACTCACCTGTATATGCGTGAAGCATGGACTCCAGGATCCTCAAGAGTAAAACCAGATGACAACAGAGCAGTCTCGTACAGAAGCATCACAAGGTCCTTGACAGACTTGTCATTCTTGTCTGCTTCAGCCCTTGCACGCATGGTTTCAACAATGGGATGGTCAGGATTAACTTCAAGATGTTTTTTGGCAGCCATGTATCCCATGGTGGATGTGTCACGAAGAGCTTGGGCCTGTGAAGAAAAAAACCATGAATGAATTTCTGTCTATTACTCATATTACAGTGCCATTGTAATTACATTTTGACAGATGTTACAGTGAATGAGGATGAGAACTTCCAAACTCACTTTCATGATCCTTTCCATGTTGGCTGACCAGCCATACTGTGAGGTAACTATGCAGCAAGGAGATGTGACCAGCCTGTTGCTCACAACCACCTTCTCAACCTTCTTGTCCAAAATGTCCTTCATCACTTTACACAAATTCTCAAACTTAGCCTTATCTTCTTCTCGTTTTTTCTTCTCTGCTTCATCTTCTGGGAGTTCCAATCCTTCTTTGGTGATGGAAACCAGCTGCTTTCCATCATACTCCTTCAGTTGCTGAACACAGTACTCATCAATAGGCTCCACCATGTAGACTACCTCAAAACCACGCTTTCGGACTCGTTCCACAAAGGCAGAGTTAGATACTTGATCCTTGCTCTCTCCAGTGATGTAATAAATGTGCTTCTGGTTCTCCTTCATTCGGGAGACATAGTCCTTGAGAGAGCATACCTCATCCCCAGAAGCTGAAGTATGGTACCGAAGGAGGTCTGCAATCTTCTTGCGATTCTGACTGTCTTCGTGGATGCCCAGCTTTAGGTTCTTACTAAATTGTTCATAGAACTTCTTATAATTGTCTTTGTCATCAGCAATTTCCTCGAACAACTCCACACATTTCTTCACCAGATTCTTGCGAATAACCTTCAGGATTTTCGATTGCTGCAACATTTCTCGGGAGATATTCAGAGGCAAGTCCTCGCTGTCTACCACACCCTTAATGAAATTGAGGTACTCTGGGATGAGCTCTTCACAGTTTTCCATGATGAACACCCGCCGGACATAGAGCTTAATGTTGTTCTTCATCTTGCGATTCTCAAATAGGTCAAAGGGGGCACGACGAGGAACAAAAAGTAGGGCTCTGAATTCCAACTGACCCTCAACTGAGAAGTGTTTAACTGCCAGGTGATCTTCCCAATCATTGGTGAGGGATTTATAGAACTCTCCATATTCATCCTGACTAATGTCATCAGGGTTCCTAGTCCAGATGGGCTTGGTCTTGTTCAGCTCCTCATCTTCAGTATATTTTTCCTTGATCTTCTTCTTCTTCTTCTTCTTCTCCCCATCTTTGTCTTCATCCTCATCTTCACCAACATCCTCTATTTTTGGCTCATCCTTTTCATCTCCCTCCTCACCTTCCTTCTTTTCCTTCTCTTCCTTCTCTTCCTCTTCATCATCACTAACTTCCTTATCTCTCTCCTTCTCAACCAGAAGTCTGAAATTAAGAAGTCATGCATTGAATAAAAATGACACAACAATATCACTTTAGGCCTACAACAAACATGTCTCAGCTCTGAACAGGGCAACCCTCCAATGGGACATTCAGAAAGAGGTCCTGAAGGGGCAATATTCGAAGATGAGAATGGTCATCTCCTTCCATAGCACTACCAAAACTGTCCTCTTCCAGAAAAATCTTGAATGCAGTCTGGTGCAGTATGTGCTGGAAGGGTAATGAAGGGGCAAAATGCAACATCAAGACTTACTTGATGGGATACCCAATGAATTGAGAGTGCTTCTTCACAACCTCCTTGACCTTCCTCTCCTCCAGGTAGTCAGTCTGATCCTCCTTCAAGAAAAGCACGATTCTCGTGCCACGGCCTAGAGGTTCTCCCGGGTCAGTCCTGACCGTGAAGGAGCCTCCAGCAGATGATTCCCAGAGATACTGCTCATCATCATTATGCTTGGATGCCACTGTCACTCTGTCAGCCACTAGATATGCAGAGTAGAAGCCCACACCAAACTGCCCAATCATGGAGATATCAGCACCAGCTTGGAGAGCTTCCATGAAGGCTTTTGTGCCAGATTTGGCAATGGTTCCAAGGTTGTTCACCAAGTCTGCTTTGGTCATACCAATGCCCCTATAAATTAACAAACTTCTTTTACAATCATTTCTTGAGAATAATACTCCATAGCAAGATGATGGAAACTCTGGGTGTACCTCCAAAACAGTACAAACCAGCTATTCTTGTAATGAATCAGTCTTATGCTCAATTAACTCAAGTATAAAACTTAGTGCATAAACTAAGCAAACCTCCAGTTACAAAAACCTATACACATCCAAGACTGATGGTATTTTTTTTAAAATATAATTTGCCTTCCACCAAAGAGGTTAATGGAAGATTTAAAGAAAAAAAAAAAATGGGGGGGGGGGGGGGGGGGGGGGGAACTTCTTAATTTCAGACTTCTGGTTGAGAAGGAGAGAGATAAGGAAGTTAGTGATGATGAAGAGGAAGAGAAGGAAGAGAAGGAAAAGAAGGAAGGTGAGGGGGGAGGAATAGGAGTCTCTTACTATTTGAAATGCCTTACGTGTCAATAATGGTCAAGGTGCGCTCATTCTTGTTGGGGATGATCTTGATGTATAGGTCCTTCCCAGAGTCCAACTTAGAAGGATCAGTCAGGGACTCATAGCGAATCTTGTCCAAGGCATCAGAAGCATTGGAAATCAATTCCCTAAGGAAGATCTCCTTATTGGAATAGAAGGTATTGATGATGAGGGACATGAGCTGGGCGATTTCTGCTTGGAATGCAAAGGTCTCAACCTCTGCACCCAGTCCTTGCTCCATCACTTCCACTCCTTCAGGCATTCTGAAGGATAAGCCAAAAGTTAAACAGAATTGTCAAAGGCAAACTTTTGGTGGTGTTCTAAAATGCTAGGCCTAAATGCTGAAACCTTGGGAGATGGAAGAGCTGTTGGGGTCTTTACCCTTTCTATGAAAAGATCAAAAGCATGGATTCTCAACAAAAAAATTCAGCTTTCACCCTTATGAGAGCATGGGTCCTTCATTACAAGACCTTTCAATCGAATAATATAAAATAGGGCAAATAAAGTACTTCCCACGGCCCAGAAATGACCCATTGAATAAGATTCTGAACTACAACTAAGCTGCTAGAATCGCATCAAGCATGTTGCAAGTATGAACTACAAACCATAAACCTCAGAAAAGATGCGACCAATATAGGCCTATTAAATTTCCAATATTTCTAATGGCCCATGCTTTCCAGGAGACGCTGGATGGTTCTGGAGACCGATTAAGTTCCACTAACCATGCCTAACGCTGCCTCGTAGTGCTTCTCAGACTATGAACGGAATTAACGAAGCGGATAATCTTTTAAATCAGTCCTGAAGAGGCAAATCGAAATAATTTTAACTCACCTGAACGCTGTGTGAAGCAAATTGATTTATTCTCAACCACTGACTTGACGAAAGCAACTCTGATCAGACAACGAGCTTTCCTCGATCGCTTCTCAGAAGAGACTGTGCCGGGTGAGTGCGGGATGGGGGAAATATAGGGGAGCTGGGACTCAAAGCACATGTGGTGCTCCTGCGCTGCTTCCTCTTCCGCTATTTTCGACCCTTCTAGAACTTTCCAGATCATTCTGGCCGCGCTTCCTGCACTTCTGACACAATGTCCAGCGCTTTTGATGTCTAACTCAGTGCAAAGCCTAGCCTTCGACCTTCGGCACTTAGACCTTGATAAGAATACCAACCTATCCGGTTTGGTTAACGTATCGTTTCGAACTATATTTTGGTGTGGACTGGCGCGCTGCGGAAGTCGCCGCTTCACCTACTGTAAAGGAATATTCTAGGCGGTCGTACTATTGCTCCTATCGAAATTTCTAGAATTATCCACATCATCTCTTGCCAAGCGTGCCTCTTACAGAATCTAGAATCCCGAGGTCCCAATTCCTTTCATGCATCCCTTGTCCTGTATGATCCGTACAGACTGATTTTTTTTTCTGTCCTGTAAACCCGAAATTAACGCTAAAATTCCATTAAAATTACACATGTATGTCTAAGGCAATTACATTTGTCTTGATGCTTTAGCCATCCATTAAAGAGAAAGAGAATAGATTTTACCCTATATAGCAAATAGTTTTAAGGGTGCATACCATTTACCACACCAAAATAGCTTTTATTGACCATGTTTGCTATTGGCAATACATGCTATTGATTCAAGGAAATAAGCTTGAGCTCCTGTTATTCAGTCTTAAACTCATGAATCTCAAGGAAGTGCTCAAGCTGTCTAAAAGTTAAATTTTTATTTTTGAAATTAATTAATGCAAAATAGGGTTAAAATCGCTTCCTGTGGTTCTTTAGCTTTCCTTCTTTCAGCTGCTCATTCTCGTTTCGCAAGAAAGACAGCAATGAATCGCAGTTGACTGTCCCACCTTGTAGGTAATGCGAAGAAGTGTATTTTGAATGTGTTAAATCTGTGAAAATGACTGAAACTGAATCGAAACTGGACTGATGAGTATCGAAGGTGAAATCGAATAACGAAACTGTTTTTAAGGAACTGGACGGGACAACGCCATGAAGTACTTCTACTTCAAACACAGGAAACCCAATTCCGTTACACAGCCACCGGAAAAAAATTATTTAAATGTATTTATACAAACATTCCAGAGTTGCGCAAAATTACACTTAACTACTCACCGACCACCGAAAGGTTTCTCGTCCTCAAAAGGTTACGTTATGGTATCCAGACAATATTTCCATCGTTTCCCTTTTAAAATCTCTACACTTTATTGCATGCCAATACAAGGAGTAGGGTTCCAGGATGGGTGTTCTCAGTCGAGTGCACGGATCTTGGATCGGCGTCTGTGCAAGGCCATTCGTTGACGAGCTGGAGGAAGCGAGATAAAGGTAAGTAGAAGCATGCGCGGGAACCCCTGAATTATTCTCAGCGAGAGGTCAGAACCATGGAGAGCAGACGCTGAACAGGCTCGGCCGCCCTGTTTTGTGACGGCTCGGAAAGGCGGGAGAGGAAAGCGGGAGAGGAAAAGTAATGAGTCAGAGGGGAGGAGGAATCACACCGCGTGGCACTCGTACGAGTCACGAACGTTAAGGTCGTTCGTCACCCACGAACGTTCTCGAAGACTCTAGGCCATTGGTCGGGAACTGAATTTCACAGGGGTGCCGATAACTGATTGCTGCACGTTCGCGGGCAAACACCTATCAAACGTCTTTAAAATGAATAGATTAATGAACGTCTAATGTCAAATGTGCAGTCGAATGTCAACTGTCAGACCGTCATGTGCAATAGCCGGGCCTTCGCGGGCCAGATGGAGGGCTTCCGCGGGCCACATGCCAACCACTACTCTATGCCCTTTCCTCCTGATATCGACTTCCCACCGCTTCCCACCCTTTTTCGTCTTTCGCATAGGTCTAAGCCGGAATGTAGTCAGCTCTCATGTGATGAGGCGAGTGACGCGTCTCAGCCTGCGTGAAACGCATGCACATGCTTGCCCACACGTAGTCACAGGTTCTAATACGCTACGACTCTAATAATCTTTCATACGAAGTTGGCATTATTGAAATGTTTGACTGCGCTTGTTAATCAGAAAAGATATGCACAGGAAGATCGCGCAGCCCCGTCGAATTACGATCATGTCTACGCGATAAGACGCGCCCTAATCATGGTCAAATTAAGGAATATGCATGGATAGTTATCGTCGCCGAGGTGAAACCCGTAGGTAATCATGTTAATTTAATTAACCCTTTGTCTAGAAGTTCAGGATCAATTATCTGAAGCTTTCAAACGGGAATTTGGTCTTTTTTGACGCTGGCCAGTTGGTATAAATGAAATCATCTCGCCATGTCGACAAAATCTCGCATTTCTGCACATCCATTGCCATTAACAGGCCTTTGTAATAGAGCCGCTTGAGGTGAGTTGAATCCCGCGGGAACGAGAGGAGACAGGAGCAAATCATTCCTACGTGTGGATGACCTCGAGCGATAACCTCTTGTGGGGTCTCTCAAGCCCCTCCTTTTTTCGCTTCCCTGAACGCAGAGGATGATGAGTCGCCACGGCTGGGGACTTGGTTCGAGGCTGGCTATGATAGCTTCCTCCTGAGATGCCTGAGAGGATCTCACTTTCTTACGTTGTGACAACTCGAGTGATGCCGGTTTTTACTTTTCCCTTGAATTATCTATTTTTTATTGTTCTATAAATGTGGACCATGACGAGCCGAATCTAGGCAAATAAACCTACTTACCGACCTACCTGGCATAAAACTTAATAGCAGGCAAAACCACTCTTTTCGTCGAGCCAGAGTTGTATGCCACATTCTTATAGCATCTACAGTATTAGTACTTTGGCTAAAGGTGACTGTAGATATTTGAAGCAGAGTCACAAACGCAAGCATACTTCATATTTGTCCATATTTCCTATGTCCCCAGACCATGTGTCCATATTTTGCTAATTTCAAAGGTGGCAACCCTACCCCGGACATTGAAGCGTTGATGAAGGTAATAGACAAGCAGAAACGGCATGAGATGAAGTGGCCGAATTCCAGCTGAAAAGATATCTATGTTTCTTCCATTTATCATTTCCCCCCCAAAAGAATATGATTTCTATAGATTTTAATGTAGTCCTAAATTGGTTCTTAGAGCTCCCTTAGTAGACTATATTAAATTCAATTGGAAATGTATATACACTGTCCTAAAAAATTTTGGAACATTTTTCAACTTGCAGCTATTTGTATTGGTTCATACTATGACTGTGCGCTTTTGAGAGCCGACTAATACATCAAATGAGCATGTTCATGTAAAGTTATATCAAAATCCTTCGACTCATTCCATTAGAATAAGTGCAGCAGCTTATACTAAGCGAGGTTGCAGCAGACCGGTGCAGCCGGCCGCACCCAGCGTGAGCTAGAGGGAACTCACAGTTTCCCTGTCGCTAGAGAGCGCGGACAGTGGACGGTTTGGGATTCGACCGATTTCGCATGTCTGTGTACAGATAGACGGTAGGTGCTTAGCCGCCGGAATAATTGATGACACGCGTTTTTTTGAATCACCAGCAGCACTCATGGCGCGTTCGTAACGCTGCTATAAATGTCCTGAAATTTCCTTAATTTTCCAATTTCGGCGGTTTCTGACCTATCTCGAAATCCCCGTGCTTCGTAAACCACCCAACTCGCTGGACCTAGCTCATAGAATCTTCTTTTACCCCCTTAAGCTAAAGAGTGTGCCGAAATGAAGATTTTAGGCATTCAAAGCAAAATTGTAAATGTGACGCGAGCACTGCTGGTGATTCCAAAAGTGTCAGCAATGCTTCCAGCAGCTGAAGAAACGCCAGAAAATTTGTGTAGCTGCCGAAGGACAAGTTTGAAGGATATAACCATCAGTAATTGGAAAGAGACACCACAGCGTCATAAAAAATTCAGTCCCGAAAATTTTTTATCACCCTTGAATCTTCTAAATGTGAAACGAGTAAGAATAGTGTACTTAAGGTCGTACGCATGTCATGTCAGCCATCGTACACGAGGCACACAACTGAATTTTGAGGCATGCGCCCGTATAGTTCTGACCGCACTGCCTAGGGCTGTCACGCTCTGAATTACCTCTTGTATCTCTAGAACTAGTGAAAGGATATTGTTATAACTTAACATGCATATGCTCCTTTGATGTAGTAGTCAGCCCTCAAAAATTGCACAACGATATTTTGAACCAATTACGAGTAGCTACAAATCGAAAAATGCTCCTAAAGTTTGTTGGGACAGTGTAAATGAAAATAAAATTTCCTTTCGGGTTCATTGCAGACGGTGGAGAAGGGCAGGGCACAGACCTCAATGCCTTCCCAACCATCAGAAAACTTGAAGCCGGTGGAGGTAGTAATCGGGAAAATGGCACCCTCAGGAATCCTGCTTTCTCAATAGCTAGTCAATTTCGTCGCCCAGTAAGCACGAAATCGGACGGAATGGGCATGCATACACATCGCTTGGATTCAGAGTCATTCAGCAAGTCTGTCGCGTCTCCAGCGCTCCCCCATGAGCTTGTGGATGTCTATCCAAATCCCCCCACAAATTATGCAAGTGATGGAAAATAGGAATGCCTCCCCCGTTCCTGGTTTCAATTAGTGTTCGGGATGTTTCTCCATTATTTTGCACTTTCACTATCGACGTCCAGCCTTTGGTGCTATGAAGAGATCCACATTATATTGCAATTGTCTTCCTAGTTTGTCGTCTAAGTTAATATATTTTACAATATGTACAGTAAGTCTGCAGTGCATGCCTATCAAGTGAAAGATTTTCCATAGAAGAAAACCATTCGAGGTTGAAAAAACAGAACTACGCTACCAGAAACGTGTCTACAAGTTTCAAATATAAAAATTAGCGCTATAGTCTATTCGTCCTCAGAAGACACACTTGCGGTTTCGATGTGATAGGTCAAGGGGGAGCCTAGGTCATTAAATATCACTTATGCTCCTCGCCTGAGACACGGTGAATGGAGGGACTTTCCTTGAAAATCAGGGTTGCAGACTTTCTTTCGTTCAATCGGGTGAAGGGGGATCCCAATGGATCTCTCTCAGCTGACTGAAAGGTGCTGTCCTTTATCTGAAAACACTGAAGCGTGTCATAAACTTTTGGACTCCCGATGACCTGCCTGAAGCCAGATATACACATACGAATCTCTATGACTCCTTGCCTCTCACCAATCAATCAAATATTTTGTCCTAAACCAAGTGTGTCATTTGCTGCCGAATAGACTCTAATAAGGAACACTAGCATGCGTCTGTGGGTAAACCGATAAAAATAACGGAGGAAGGTGCCGGAACCAGTCGTCCTGAATATGACAAATGAAGGAGTCATTCTGAATCTTCCTCGGCAGAGAAGTTTAAAGTAAGACCTGCAGGTACCCTAGTAGCATATAACATTGATTCAACGTCCGGATATTGAATCAATGTTGTTTCAATGTTATCTGCTACTAGGATAGGATCCGTCACATCACCTGTTTCGCATTTAAGAAAATAAAATGCATGTGGGGTTGAACCAAATGTGTAAATAAAATCGTGTTCCTCATAAAAAAAGGAAATAAATATGAGCGGGAAGAAATGTCAAACCTATATTTGGTGGCAGTAGGTAATGATACCGGATTTGCAATTTTCAAGTGTCAGACATAATCTGAAAGCTTTGTTCAATCCCAAACGAATGCTGCAAACCGTATTATAGCACCAGCAGGGAGCAAGAGTTATGCCTACTTAAACGCAGGCGGGTAAAAAAAAAAAAAAAAAAAAAAAAAAAAACAAAAAAACAAAAAAAAAAAAAAAAAAAAAAAAAAAAAATAAAAGGGACATAAAAAATAAAAAGGGAAAAAAAAAAAAAAAAAAAAAAAAAAAAACGCTGAAACTGTAATGTCTGCTCAACTTCCGTGACTTGTAACAAGCGAGTCGGAATGCAATTAAAGATGAAAACGGCGAAGAAAAATTGACCAATAAAAGTTCGATGGGGGCCTTTTCGTCTTTTACTTCATGCAGCTGCGAGTGCTGGAGAGGCGTGAATCATTGTTTCTCTCGGTCTTTGTCTCGACACAAGGCTTGCCCGAGCACGCGAAGTCTCAGCGGTCGACCCACAGGTGTTTAACTGGGCATAACCTTTGATTCCCTGCACATGTTGTATTACAGTTAGCGGCAATCGATCGGAATTGAATTTCAGATGATACTTTAAAACCCCATCGCCAGTTTTACCAGTTGCCACCAAAATTCAGGTTGACGTTTTGTTTTATTCTGCACATTATGCATGTTTTACATTCATACGAGAGTTGCCAATAAAGTTCTGGGAATTGTTGCAATAGAAAATTGAAAGTAACACCAATGGGCAACTGCGTGCAACATCAGTCGATTGATAATGGCAATCTCCTATGGGATGTTTCAGGACTGGAAAGAGCCAGGTCAATAAACATTTTGTGTTGACACATAAATTTCACCCAGCGTCAAGCAAAAGGAGGCTTGGTTTGATACAGTAAGAAGTGCTGCTGCACATGGACAATGCCTGGCTTTACACGGACCATTCTGCTATTGAAACAGTTAACATGCCATCCTGCTGAAAAAAATGTACAGCAACAGACAAACAGTAAACAGCAGAGTGAAGTTCAGCTTCATCTGCCTGATCTTGCCACATATTTCTAGCTCTTTCCAGCACTGAAGCATCCCATACCACTTCACAATTTTCAATCAAACGATGATAATCAGGCAGAAGTGGCTTACTAATGTTGCCAATATCAAGGTAAATTCTTTCCTGACTTCAAGCGGTGGGTACACAGATGGAAAAATGACTTGTAGTTGCAGAGGATGATGTGGAAAGGGCACATGCAGCCTAGAAATCAATATCTCGGGCTTGCAATTTTGTGGGGAAAGTGTCCAGAACTTTAAAAGTCAACTTCATATATTACATCCCTCTGCCCAATGATACCATCTCAGTAATCAAAGATATACCTCACTCCTTCCTGTAACGAATGACAACGAGATCTTTGAAAGATAACGTTTTCTTTGAATTACACCAGTGAGGAATACTGCACAGCTTCATTTGAAGACAGCACATGAGCTTCGCTTGATAGGCGATTACACTGGTGATGCGTCACTAAAGGCCGTTTCTATCCATCATGATTCCCCTGGCAACATATGCTTGAGGTGATGGAGGTCCTTCAATTTATAGTCTCGAATATCTGTCTCTTCATCATAGTATCGGTTCCACTTCTCCCACTTCACTTTCATTTTATTAACAGGCAGGAGTCCTAAATGACAAAGACAATAGCAACTTTGAATAGCCTCTCCATTATAGCGATTCCAAAATGCCAGAGATACTTACCAGCATTCTGGGCCATCAATACTAGGGAAAGGACTCTTCTGTGCTGCCTCTTACACAGACCTGTTATTTCCCTGGGTAGCATCTCATGTTTAATATTAAGAAACTGTTGGAGTATGAGAACATCCTGCAAGAGAGAATCATATCATCTTAGGAGAAATCAAACTAATTCCTTTAACAACTCATTGATTTTATCTTCTCCAATCACCGAGTCTGAGGAGAAATATAAGGAAATATACAAGCATGAGTGAAAGTAAAAAAGTATGTAGCACCTTGCCAATTTACTTACAGTGTGCCTGACCTTGATCCCTCTGCCCTCTAAGGCACACATGGGACATGCATGATATGGATCATCCATTTTCAGCAGGAAGGGCTTCCTCTTGGAATCTTGTATGGATCCTTCAATGATGGTCATGTCTCCTTCCTCTGTGACCTTGACTGTAGAGATCAAGCCAAAAACTCAACAGAATAATACCATTTACATGGAAATCTTTTCAACTAAAAACATAAGCTTCATCAAGTGAGAAACACTGCTCAGAGAAAACATAAGGCTTTTATTGTTTATTCATTATATTTAGCATCATAACACCAAATCCTATGCATTACAAAAACCACCAAAATATGGAAGGTCTCAAGATGGCTGGTACTTAACAGCATGCACAGCATAGTTTATGGACGTGTCACTGATCCAAGTCCAATGATTGACAATGGGTAAATACAGCAGCCCGTGCAGGAGGACCGGATGACAGCCCTGTGACTCCAGCATGCATTTCAAATCACTGGGCCTGATGAACTTATTCCAGTTGTGTGTCCCTCGTGGCAGGACTCCAAGGACATTCTCAGCAAGGAGGATCCCTCCTAACCATGAACGATATGTTTTGTTCAATGTAGTGAAGAATATGGATCCTCCAGGTTTCAATAACTTTACACAGGAAGACACAAAGTATTCAGGATTGTCTACATGTTCAATGACTTCAGAAGCAACAAGGGCATCATACTGGGTGCCCATCTCCTGATGAGACTCAACAGTCCCACAGACGTATGTAAGCCGCCCACCAAGAGCAGGGTCTTCCAAAGCATGGCATAGAGCAATCCCAATATTCTCAAAGACAGCATCAAGTCCAGTAACATGAGCACCTAAGCGTGCAAGGGGCTCACTCAAAATTCCTCCCCCACATCCAACATCAAGGATCTTGAGACCCTCTAGAGGCATTGGACTGTTCACTCTTTCCTTGTGAAGTGTCAGGCTACTGATCAGGCCATCACGCACAAATGGGATACGTAGTCGATTCATGGAATGCAGTGCCTTGAATTCTCCATTCTCATTCCACCATGCAAATGAGAGAGCCTTGAATTTCTCTACTTCTGAAGCATCCACCGTTGAGAGTTCTGCCTTTGGAGAAGGAGCTGAAAGAAGAGCACTCTTCTCATGCTCCTTTACGTGAATCAACAAACCAATGACCCATACAGATCAATCAGTTTTGAGCCAGAAGTATGATATATAAATAATTCAAATGAAAATATCAGTTTCCAGGAAACTTACAAAGTAGAGTGATAAATTGAGAAAGTGATTTAATTTGCAATTAATAAATGTACCTGCCACTTGCCATAAAACTTACAGGGTTTACTTACAGGGTCATAATTTAGTAATTTAGTATAAAAGATCCTTATCCATGTTGTCTGAAGTTTGTAGGAATGAAATTGTTTAGTGCAATCATCTTCTCAAAATAGTTTGGATAGTTTTCTAAATCTCAGTTATTACTGTCTGTCCTACAGAATGTTCCACAATCATGAATCCCTCTGGACAGAATAGCCTGGGAAGTATGGTATACCAAAAAACAAATATCTAATATATATACAATACTGCAAAAAAGTTTGAGGCGGGTGGGAAAATTTTGCAAGTCTTATAAAAAAAATTTAAAAATAACAAACAAAAGAACAATTTTGACTAATAAAAACCATGATTAATCATTGACATTTTGTTTGAAAAAAGAGTATTACATTTTGTTGGTATTTTTCTTAAAAGAAAATCATTTTTGCAACCTGCCTCAAACTTTCTGGCGGTTCTGTATATATAAACGATTGTGACTGACTGATGCTAATTCTAGCAATGTTCTAGAGAAGTTAGAAATCTGAAACTTGGTACACAAGAAGTTATTGGGATGTAAAGTTCATAAAAAATCCAACTTTGGAGGTAAATGCCCTGAGGGCACAAATTTCAAGGGGAGATGTATTCAAATAATTTTTTGCATCAGTCAAACAGATACACATGAAAAGCTGAAACTTTGCATAAATGTGACTATTGAAACAAGGAGTACAAGAAAAATGACAAGTTTCAATACATCCCTTGGGGGCATATTTTCTGGGGGTGATGTTTAAAAAAAAAATTTGGCCTGGCAAATTGGGCAGAAATAGAAAGGTGAAACTTGGTATAAGTGACATGATTCAGCTTTGGTGGTGCATCCCCCCAGGCATAGCTTTTGGGTGGGTCAGCTTTTCCAAACATATATTTTTTCACAGCGGAAAGGGCAAATGTATAAGGTTGAAACTTGGTGGGTATGCAGTTTTCTGAGCATTGATTTTAGTAAAAAGTCTACTTTTCAGGCAAAACACCTCAGGGCACTTTTTTTTGCAAAAGGCGCATTTTCCTGATTTTTTTTTTGATCCAGCAAAACAGAGGGCAACAGAAAGTTTAAACTTGGCAAAGAAGTACCTCATGGATAGCTGAGTAAAGAAAAATCCTACTTCTAATATATACAGACGGTCGTGAGTGACAGACTGACATAAATAGCTTTCGCATGCTGAGTCCAGAATAAATCCTAATTTGGAGATACATGCCATAAGGGTAGGGTAAAACACCCAGTGATGCACCTGTTTAGGGCAGGTAGTCAGTGATGGGCCACGTTGCAGGAAAATTCCATATGTGGCAGGAAAATTCCAAAAACTGGACATTTGTTCCATGAATACCTCTAAAGTGTGTATGTGGTTGAATGCTGCTAGCCTATGTCACAACAGGGGTAGGTGTGCTATGGAAGCTTAGCTGTTGGAATTTTTATGTGCTGTGGCCCATCACTGGGTCTTTCATACCCTACACCTTTTGGGGGAAAATATTTTTGAATAATTTTTTTTTGCTTCAATCAAACAGAAAGACATGGAAAGCTGAAACTTGGCAAGAATGCGACTACTGAGTTCAGGAAAAATGTCAAGTTTCCAATACATTTTTTGGGGACATATTTCTTGGGGGGTGATGTTTTCAAAGAATGATTTTTACCCTAGCAAATTGGGCAGAAATAGAAAAGTGGAACCTGACACATGCATAATGGACGTGATGTTGAGTTTAGGAAAAATTCAACTTTTGTGGTGCATCTCCTCAGGGCAAAGCTTTTGGGTGGGTCACTTTTCCAAATATATATTTCCACCAGCGAAAAGGGGAAATGTATAAGGCTGAAACTGGTTAGGCATGAAGTTCCCTGAGTCCAGATTTCAGAAAAAATATTTTTCTTTTTAGTTAAAACCATCAGGGCACTTTTTTTTTTAAGTCACATTTTCCTGAATCTTTCTTCATCCAAGGAAACATAGAGAGACAGAAAATTGAAACTTCCCTCAGAAGTACCTGCGTGATAGCTGAGTGCAGGAAAAATTCTACTTTTGAAATGTCCCTTTTGCATAGCTTATGGGAGCTTTTCAAAAAGGGACACACAAGGAGACTTGAAGTTAGGTGCACTTGAAATAATGGAAGTAATGTTTTTGATAAAAATCAAGACTTTCATCTCCATATGTCATATATATTTCAATGGGGACGTATTTTAAATACATTTTTGTCATTTCACAAAGAATTAATGACTTAATCACTATCATAGATAAAATGGAGCACTGAAGGCATGACCAGTTACAGTAGTTAGTTACAATATAAAAAGCTTGATTTTATATTTCTTTCTGTTCCAGGTTATGGCTTCAATTTGATTGAAAAAAATTCTTTCAGTGGATTAACAAAATCTGGGAGGGAACTTTCAGAGAAGCTTGTGATTCCAATGCATCTTTGATTTCATGATCCTGGAATGTGCAAAGATATGGATGAAGTGATCTTTCATCACTGAGACCATAGTCTTTCAATTATTTTGCACAAACTTCTCATAGAGATTCAATCTTGGTGCCACACAAACTTTCTTTTTCTTCACATTTCCCAGGTTGTTCTTTACAGAAGGAGCCATTGCAGTGGAACATCCTGTTGAGTGTGTAAAAAAAAATGGAGATCATTGGGGTGCTATGGGCAAGAATGATGAATGGGAAGAATGAAACTATAAAGTTATACATGGTTGGACAAAACTAGAGGAGCTATGCTTAGTGGCATGATTAGAGATGCATAACTCAGTAATTTATTATCATTCATTATCACAAATGACTAAGTTAATGGGACATTCCATGTCAAATCAACCCAGTGTTAAAATATAAAAGTTTTACTCAAATCAGAGAGCAACTGAAAAATATATTCCAAATAAATCTGCCCATTGGAATGTATGCTATGGCCACAACCTCAGTATCTATTTGTTTATAAAAACAAAATTTGTGGAACATTTTAGGCCAATGAGAAGAGCATTAAAAGTGAGTAAATTAAATATAACTAATTATGATGCTAAATAAGGTTCTCTACCTCAACCCAAACATGCATAGCCTCATCAGTTTTTTTTTTCTCAGGTCACTCACAATTCCCACCTGTTGTGACCCAGGGATCTCAAAATTTTCAACAGGCTATGGTTTAGAAATCCATACCTTTCAATTTTCTATGGGAAAATATAAATTTGCACTCACCTTCTTTCACACCAACTGCAGAAGATGTATGAATCCATCTGAAATATGAAGATGCACCAGGTGTCCGTATCGGCAACAAACGTGAAAGTGCTTTGAGTGCCATATCTAGCTCAACAAGTCTCACTTATATATATCTTTCTTGAAGTACCTTGTGAAGTAGAGTCAGTCCAGTCAGGAAATGAGGCAAGTTTATGTAAAATTAATAATAATATGCAACACCAATGGCAAGTGAGAGAGGTTTCTGGAGGCATGAATTCAAAGCTCCTCCAATCAGGTATATGTATACAGGGTGTCCAAAAAAAATGTATACACACTTCATCAACCCATAACTCAGTAACCTTTTCTCTTTTTCAGTTGCAAGTTGGTTGTAATAATGCAAAATCCCAGACTTACATTTGAGCAGCAGAAATTTGTGTTGAAGTGGTATTGGAAGTTGGAAAATATCAACTAAGTCCAGAGACAGTTTAGGAGTGAATACCACACTGAACCACCAACGCGTCTCACAATTTCGGCATAAGCTCTATTTAAACTTCGCCTACCGTGACACGTTTTACATGTGTCCGTTGCTAGACCTTCTGGAGCGTGTAGGTGCTCGGGGTGCTCTAGTGTTCTCCACGACCTTGAAAAGCAAGGAGCATTAAACTTCAGTTTCTCGACGATGTCAACAATGCCTGGATGAGAATGGAGGACATTTTGAACACTTGCGTTAATGCATAATTTTTTCTCACATTTTTTCTTCATTATAAAATTATACAATTGAATTTATGAAATTAAACATAGAAGTAATTAGCAATCAAAGTGTGTATACATTTTTTTTGGACACCCTGTATATATTGGCTCATGCTAATAACAAATAGGAACAATGTCGACCATGACATGTCGGATGTGACGCGTCAGTTCCTGGAGGCTGCAACTCAACTTTCCCCCGAGGCTCTGTACTCGCTACTCTCTGCAAAATCTTTTCCAATGATTTACCATTGACGAAATCGCGCAAGTTCATCTTTCCGGATGATATTTGTCTTGGATTCCGATCACAGGACTTCTCCAACCTAGATGTTGCCTTGAACAAAGATCTGGCTTCTGTTGCAAACTATTGCCGGCAATGGCGACTGCAACCAAGTACGACCAAGACAGTGTCCAGTGTGTTCTACCTGCACCATGCTTCCCCCAGACACGAACTTGCTATGGTCCTAAATGGCCAACAACTGCGACATGATCCAAACCCAGTGTACCTCGAGGTGACCTTTGATCGTACAATGATATTCCGATAGCACCTGAAAAAGGACGGCCTCTAAATTGAAAACTCGGAACAACCTTCTCAGCAAGCTAGCTGGCTTGACATGGGGAGCAGAAGCATGCCTGCGAACTACGGCCATGGCAATTTGTTACTTTGCTGCAGAATACTGCGCTCCGGTCTGGATAAAGTCTTCGCCTATTAGACTCAGACGCCTAGCTGAATACAGCAATGCGTGTCACCTCTGGAGTGTTAAGATTCCCTCCCGCGCCATGACTCTCCGATTGCCCGGCGAAAACTACGCCGTGAGGTTGCCGCCGCAACGATGATGGCTCTTGTGGAAGCAAATCCTGCCTCGCCTCTCCACTCAGACCTATTTGATCCACCAACCCATCGTTTCCCATCCCGACATCCACACTAGACCATATTTCTAACAGGCGAAACTGTGCCAGTGGAGCAGCGTTGACGCGAGGAGTGGTTCAAATCGACGGTAACAAATCACCAGATACTTGACGACCCTTCGGTCGAACAGCCAGGCTTCCACCTTCCAAGGAAACTGTGGACCCTCCTAATTCGCTTCCGGACAGGTCATGGGCATTGTGCGGCTAATGACCACCGATGGGGACGGCTCGATAGCTCACTGTGCAAATGCGGTGAGCCCCAAACAATTTCACACATAGTCATCGACTTCCCAATGACTTGCCTGCATGGTAGCCTACGCACTCCGCACGTCGCTGGTGCTGATTCCATCATATGACTAAAGAAACATGTCCTGGCCCCATCCAACAACCACCCCACTTCAATTCGGACAATATTTCGTTCACATAGGCATTCGATAAATAAATAAATGTGATTTCAGAGAGAATATATTTCATCCAGTGGTGTCTGACGAAATATAATGTGATTGCTATAGAGAATTTTACTTTAACGAAATATTTGTATTGGTATTGATGAACATACTCTCCTGGTGTTTTTTGCGTGTATTTCTTAACGTTGCATCCAGTTCCTGTGATCCAATTACGATGACCATGAAGCGAACGTAAACGCGATCTCCTTCGAATTTTTGATGTCGAATGTATTGCAAAGGCACCCGTTTGAACATAGCATGCAAGTAAATAGCTGTTTCATAGTTTGTAATTTATACAGGGTTGATGATTGCGGTATTTCATTTGTTGGGTGTTGCATTTCTTCATCAATACCTAATGAGTTATGTGAGTCAACAATGATACATCTCGAAATCATGAAGAATTTTAAGTTATGTACTTCTCTCCACAGGAAGAGCATCTACAAACGTCCATGGGAAAATACAGACAGTCCTGGCTGGAATGCCAAATGCCGAATTTATATGCGCATTTATATGAATGAACCGAACAATGCCATGATCTCCAATAAATATTCAGCAGAATTTGTGGTCGACGGGATTTCAGCATTGACCTGGATCAATAAGTATTTGAAGGAATACCCAAAAAAATTGAACAGCTAAATAGTTATAATAGCACGAAACTTTTCAATATCAAATTGTAAACGTGCTCACCAAGACATCAGATACGACAGCAAAAGCTGAAACAAGGAACATTCTCGGGAAATGTCTCATACCAATATGCATTCATACGATTCCTCGGTTGATACAACCTCTCAACAACTGCGACCAAACGCGCAAGCAGTACCACAGCAACATTTTCCGGTATTTCGCATGACAGGACAACAGCAACAACTGCAACCATCGGCAAACGCTGCTCCATACCATATATACGATCAAAATCAGTCACCGCAAAATTCTCAGCAATACAACATGTATCTTCAGCAACAAGGACGAACGCTGCCAGTGGTGTTGTTACCTGAAAGGCAAGCCCAAAACCTTTCACAAAAAACTAAGGAAACGTCGGCACGAAAGGTCTCGATGAGCGAAACCCCAGGGCAGCTAATGACCTCGCAACAACCTTCAATGATGTATCATCAGCAGATTCCAAATGAATCACTTTCGCGTCCAAGTGTATTGCTTCATGAGGCGCCAAGGCATCCACAGGCTCCAGCATCGCCCAATAGCGAGGCACAACATCATCCCTCCATAATGCAACCGCAACTAAGTTTCACAGGTAACAGAAGTGCAATTCCGCCACAAGCCAGAAATCTACCCGTGGTGTTCCTACCGCAAAATGCAACTCAAAACCATACCCAACTTCCACAAAGAGAATTGCAAGATATGGTTCCAATGAACGAAATTCCAGGACAGTCACTGACTGCGCAACGTCATTTGACCACTTCCCAAGGGCAGGTGCCAAACCTGGCCTTTGCGCAGAAATATCAATATATAGCAACACCTGAGATGCAAAGTCAACAGTCTCCACAATCAACACATTTATTTACAGATCATAATTCTCACCAAATGCAACCCTCACCGCTTCTAGTGAAAGACAGCAATTCAACTCAGCAACAACCCCGACTTCTGCCTGTGGTGTTTCTTAGTCCAAATGCCACACATGCTCATGAACAACATCCGCATAATGGTTTGCCATCAAACATTCAAATGAACAAAACCCCTGGACCGTCAGGATCTCGTCAAAACCATGTCATGATTTCAAATGCGCATTTGCCAGGAGAAAAATCGCTTCCAATATATATGCTTCCTGATGCGAAAAAAGGATCAGACTTAAAAGTCATTATGACGCCAAGTGCTTCGCTGGACCAAATGTCCGTCAGAAAAGAAGTTCCACCGCAAAATTCCTTCCAGGGAAGCAATCCCGTGCAGCAACCACGAACGCTTCCAGTAATTTTTTTGCCGCAAATGATAACTCCTGGGACTAGTGGACAATCACGGGGTCTTCAGCATCCTGCGCGGTTTCAGTCGCAGTCGTCACAGCAAACACATTTCTATCGATATCCCATGGATATCTCCTCTGGAGGAACGCTCCAGGGTCAATTTAGGTAAGTATGTGAATTTTTCAATATTGATAGTAAATCCGTAGGGATGAAATAATATGTTGGACTTGATTTGAAACATCAGACTTGCAAAATGGATGAAAATTATATTGGAAAACAAATTGCGGAAGCATATTTGTGCTTCGCGTCACATTTTCCGCGGAGTACCTCAAATTAAAACGTAAAACTCTGTCCTCATCGGGTGTAGAAAATTCAAAAACAGTGAAATCTAACTCGACGCTTGATATTCAAAACGATGAGAAATAATTTTGCATTCGGGCAGGAGAAAGTGTTGCAAAGTCGTTTGCTTGTACGTGGCAACAATCCTGTGTCAAAAATTAGGTAACAGGTGGGAAAGCTTCCAGGATGAGGGATCCCGTTGAGGAAAAAGAGACTAGGAGCTTTCAGGACCAAAAACAGATGGCTATATTGTGACAATGTGAAATTCTGAAATACACTTTTTGAATGATAGTTCGTCTGCTTCATGCAGCATGTGATAGTATCTCTACATGTAATAGCTGCCTTTATTTTTTTTGGAAGTAAACCTAGGCCTTTTTGCTGCGGCTGTTGCTGAAATGTCCCCGTCATCTTCTGACGGAATCTCTCAACATGGGATTTTTCCCACAGACTTTTTTGGAAAAGCGCGTAGATGACTTCGACAATGAAGATTCGTTGACACCTTTTCCTTGATGAATGCTATTTCCAGTGAATATAAAAGAATAATTAATTTCCACTGTTGCAAATAAATACTGCATAAATAGAGGACAGAGTTTCATGTATCGGCTGGACGTGCACTCCTTAAAAGGGTTATTAAAAGAAACACGGATAGATCAGACTTGCCGAATTGAAATTCTATATCGTTTATTTATATATCTGGCGCGCGGCACGAACTTAAATGGTTCCATGCAATGCAATAATCATTATTTTTGTAAAGGAACGCCGTTCCTCAACCAACCTCTACCATTCCTGGGCAGACGTATTTCTGTTTCTGCAGAACGGGTAGTA